AAAAAAAAAAAAAAAATAAAAAAAAATAAAAAAATAAAAAAAATAAAAAAATAAATAAAAAATAAAAAATGAAAAATCGTCGGATGAAATGACAAAGAAATCTTTACGATTAATTTTGTCAAAGTTTACCTACTTATTGCAGCAGTACAGCTAAGGTACTCAAGTAATACGACATTATGGTCTATGAGTAAGTACATACATGTTGAAAATACACATGATTAAATAGGTGCCAACCAAACATCATATTTTGTAAGACGACTATTGTACATACCTACCTGCTGATAAAGTATTACAGTTACAGCTAATTTGAAGGAAAGAATAATGCTGTTGAAAAACACGTAATCGCACACAAAAGTTTAACCAAAAACCTCTGTGGGAATTATTGTTCAAGGAAAGAAACGATAGGAACATAAAAGAAACATGTCAGAACTTTTCCTGTTTTGTCATCCCCGTTAGTCTTTCCCGCAGTGAAAGGAAATTCTGTAGCTGAATTTCCGTTTCGCGTCAGTGAAGGCGAAAGTAAACGGAGACAAGTTTGTTGCAACGTATCTGCGTCCAGTTTCATCCTCGCGCCGCGCGCCGCGGAGGGCCTGTCGCAAGAACTTTAGCCGCTGGCAAGGTCGGAACCAGACTCATTACCATCAGCTCGGAGGCTCAGAGATGCGAGGATAGCTGTTTGTTTCTCTCAGAGATCTCGGGCAGGAAGTTCGTAGTGCAATGGACCGATCGCTTGCACCCTCTGCTGCCTCAAATAGCTATTTATGTTAAAATAAAATTTCTAGGAAAATAGGTGAACTTAATCCGGGTTACTTTTAAAGTTTCTACTATTTTGAGGGGTTTCATTTTGAAAGGATTTCGCCATGGTGCAGGTAAATTAATGCCCATGCAATAATCTAAGTTTTCACGATGACTCTGAAAAATAAAAAAAGGAAATCGACAAAGACTCGTGCTTGCTGTGATTTTATTCTTTCGCAGATTATCAACGACGTGCATCTTTAACTCTATTCTTGGAAATTTAAAACGGATCATTGGCACTAAAACCTTAAAATTTCAAAGGCAGACCTATAACTATAGGTCATCCCTCATCCTCCCCTCCGTTCGCCCCCTAAAACATCAAAATCATTCGTTTCGATGCAGAGCGTTAAAAAATTTGAGTTAACCATGCGATAAAACAACTTTTCACGATTCTATAACACTAAATTATGTACTAGGAAAAGTCATCGTTTAATTAATTTTAGGTGACGATACACAAGAGGACACACTCTACCTTAGCATAGTCGCATTTGGGATTATTTGAAGCAATCATCTATAGAGTGGGAATTTAAAACCTGGTGCCATCAAGTTTGCTGAGATAGAGCAACTGTTTCTCTCACGGAACAAGGATCGACTGGCCGGAAAAGAATAATTCTTGTCATCAAGACAACAATGTAAAGAGATTTCCCCATAAAAAGTTCAGCAAAGGCTGAACATTTTAATCGTTTTAAAGCGAGGCTCGTAATCTTAATAGCAACATCTCTGATGGCGCTTACTAAATTTTAAATTTCCACTCTTAAACTAGTAAAAACTCTCCGATTTACCTGTCAGTGGCCTCGCCCGAAGGCGGGCTATACGTGAATTTCTGAGGCTGCTTTTGGTTCGGTTTGTGCGAGGCGGAGCCTCTAGTGTTAGTCAAAGGTCTTCCTGCGGGTTGCGGTTTGTGGTTGGCAGGAATGTACTCGTCTGTGTCGGCCTCCTGGTGTTTGGCCGGGCTCGAAAAGGTGTGGGGAGTGGACTTTTGGATTTTCTGGGTTGGGAGACTGGGAGGGGGAGGTCTTGTCGCTTCCGTCGTTTGCGCCCGGTGATTCTTATGCCGCGCTTTCCCGCCGAACTTATGATTTTCCGGTGCCTCGGTCTGCGTCAGTGGGGTTCGGTTGCTTTGCGCGCCCTCTAGCGACGTGTCTTTCAGTTGATTGCGATTACTTTGCGCGCCCTCTAGCGACGTGTCTTTCAGTTGATTGCGATTGCTTTGCGCGCCCTCTAGCGACGAGTCTTTCAGTTGATTGCGATTACTTTGCGCGCCCTCTAGCGACGTGTCTTTCTGCTGATTTCGGTTGCTTTGGGCGCCCTCTAGTGGTGACTCTGGCGTGGTATGCTGAACTATGGGAGTAGTCCGATTCCTCATCGGATAATTTTTGTACTTAGGCCGGTTCTTCCTGTGTTTCGGAGGCATAGTCACATTGTTCGCCTGGGTAACATTTTCGGTCCTCACTTTCGGTGCCACGGGCAAGGTCGCGTTGAGTTTGTTCTTCAGTCGGTTGAACTTGCGAGGGTAGTGAAGGGTGGGTGTGCTAGGGGTGGTTAGATTCGACTTGGGGGCTGGTATCTCACTTTGGTGGGGCGTGGTTTTCTTCCTCATCTTCGGCTTGATGAAGTACCGCGGGGTCGTCGACACTTGGTTCGGGCGGGAGGTCGACGTCACATCCGCCAGTGGGGACGTGTGCTCCGGTTCCGTTCGATTGGCGGGAGGGAACGTCTTGGATCTACGGTACGCGGGAGACGTTTTCAAAACCGTGTAGGCATCGATGGAACTACTGATTGCCGGGTCCATGGTGACGTTTGATTTGTGACGCGTACTCGGCTGTGTAACTTTATTGGTGGTGACGTCGTCGTAGTACTCATCGTCATCGTAGTAATCGTCATAGTAGTACTCATTGTCATCTTCGCTCTTACTATTGTTAGAACTGATAAGAGGCTGTTTGCCGCGTTGTTTGGCATTTTGCATCATTTTAGGCGGCCGTGGTGGTCTGGCGCGGGTTCCGTTGAGCTGCGTGGGCCTCTCGTGTTTGTAATCTTCCGCGTATTCCTCATCATCGTAGCCTTCCCCGTAGTATTCATCATCACCCTCGTTCTCATTATCATTATCATTATCATTATCGTCTACATTTTGTTTCTGTTGGTCGTAGTTATCGTCCTGCGCATTATCTTCTTCATAATACTCTTCTTCGTCATCCGCCTGGTCCGGCGGTGGATTCGGTTTTTGCTTCACCTTCGGTTTGCTCGAGGGCGGGCCGGACGGCGTGGAGAAGTAGTTAGGTGGCGTCTCGTAGCCTTTATGGCGCGGGTAACTGGGAAAAGGGTCCCCGTTGAGAGGTGTGTCTTTATGGTTGTGCCCGGAGTGGTAGTTCCCGAGCCCTTCTTTCGAGTTCCCGTACTCATCGTTATCTTCCTCCCGGTCGTAAGCTGGAGGCTGCGGGAGCGTGGCTTGAAGTCGGTGGTCGTACAGGTTGTCGTAGGACTCGGTGGTTTCTACCGAGGAGTACGGGTGCGTGGACTTTCTATGATTGTTGTTGCGCCTATATGAATAGTTGGCCGGTCGGTAGGCGTGGCTCACCCCGACCGGAGTGATGGCGTTTTTTGGTTTCTTGGTCGGCTTGGGGCGCGGCGTCGGCGTGAAGGAGCCGATGTTCCGCACGTCCGGCGTCGTGAAGATGAGCTGCGGCTCGATCCCGTCTTCGGCGTCGTCGTCCTTCTCGTCGTTGACGCCCTCGAACTCGTCCGAGAAGTCGAAGTGCTTGTCCGCCTGGTGCGAGTCGAACTCGGTGGAGCCGCTGTCGTGGGCCTGCGGGTACCGCTGGTTCATCTTGAGCTTGAGCTTGCTCATGTAGACCTCGAATTTGGGGTCGTCGAAGTGCCCGTCCAGGTTCTTCAGCTTGTTGCGGAGGACCCTCAACGGTATGTTCTTGTACCTGCCTCTGACGCGAAGTGGTGATTCCGTGTGTGACTCGTTCTCGTTGCTCACCTCTGCATCATCGCTTCCGCTGGCTGTTTCTTCCTCCCCTCCACCACCACCACCGGCACCGCCACCCCCGCCGCCGCCACCCCCTCCTCCACCCTCATCGCCTTCTTGTCCTCCGCCGTCATCGTCTTCGGATTCCGGTTCCGTTTCGAAGCTCTCGGCTTGTCGATCCGTGTTCCCTTCGTTGTGGTATCGGATGGTTTCGTTGTAGCGTCGTGCCGGAGTGGTATCTTCCTCTCTATGGTTGTAGTTGTGGTTCGAGTGCGTTTGGCTCTTCTGTTTCTGGTTCGTTCCGTGGTTTTCGCTCGGATCCCGGTGGTTGCTGTTCCTCAAGTAATCGTGCCCTTTGGACTCCTGCGGGGAAACGGTCTCGTCCAGATTATGATTGGCGAGGAGGATGCCAGGCGCGGGGGGCTTGAGCGGCATTTTGATCGAAGAGGGGGGCGTCGTTTGGTCCGTTAGGGGGGTGTAGAATTTGAGCTGGGAGTTGGGCTGCATGGACAGGAGTGTGGTTCTCTCCGTTGCCGGGCTGGTTGCCGCCGTCCAGGGGCCAGGCGTGACGTAGCCGACGGATTGCGTGCTGAGAGGAATGGGGTTAGGTGTAACGTTGGGAATGTAAGGTGCAGCTGGTGGGACGCCCGGTTGGGCAGTTAAGCTAGGAGGAAGAGGTTGGTTGTTGTTAGGTAACTGAAAGTACGATTTGAGATCAATGATTTGAGGAGTGGCTCCGTTTTTGTAGGTCTGAGCCTGGATTGACTGGGGCACCGGGGATTTGGCAGGGCCCGGCGGCGGCGTCACGGGGAACAGGTAGTAGTGGCTCGGGCTGTATGTGTTGTCACCGTGCGCTGGCCGAAGAGCAAGACCGCCCGGGACTGGGTTCACATGAGCTATGATCTTAGAGCCCGGAGGGATCAGGGGAGGCCACCTCGCATTCGTAGGTCGACTGATCGCAAAGAACCAAATTAAACATAAAAGTCATAAAGTCGTCCAGAAAATTATGTCCTTTTGGACTTATTTATTGCTAATAAAGCCTATATGAGGTCTTATATGTAACAATGGCGGATGTGAAAAACTACCTTTTAGAGACACGCTTAAAAAACTGTTTTGTTCAAACAAAAATTTAATGTTTGGCTCTGGCATAATGTACAGATCACGAAGATCGCATCTAAAGCATTTTCTCAAAATTTTCTCGATGCCAAAACAGTTTTTTGAATGTGTGTCGAAAAGGTAATTTTTCACATCCGCTATTGTTACAGATAAGTCCTCATATACTTGAAATTTTTTGAGCAAGTAGACTTTAATATGCACAAATAAGCCGAGGTTATGGTTAAAAAAAAATATTACAGTGGGGTATTCCGTAATTATTTCAAGGACATATGATTCAAACCAATGGCGCAAGAATCATACTTTTATTTAGTTTGTTTGCTTTAGATTGGGCTTGATCCTGTCATCCTAAACAAGGAATAAAAGATTCTACTTGTGTTTCAGTTTCTTCCATTCACATTTGTCAAATTACTTGGCTGCATAAAAAAATAAATGTTTTTCTTGCAGTTTTTCATTGTCATTTATCTCCTTATTTTAGAGCGTGCCTTGAAATTATTTTCGAATTCCATATTCCTCTTATTCTCTCTAAAAACGTACATGGTGAGAAGAGAAATTGAAACCTAATTATTTGGTTATGAATTCCTTGTTCAGGATGACAGAGTTGTTAAGTATGGTCCACAACAGTAATAATAATTTGGTTTTTTCAGTATTCGTCGGTCAGTAATTTTAGGTGGTCCCATAGTTGTGAGGAGAACTTATACAAATCTGTACTTACCTTACAATTTCCTCGAGGATAAACCTGTTATTATGCTTTCTTGCAATAATGGTGAAGATTAAAATAAATTATTTTTTTGCCCGATTAGTGCAAACAAACTGAGTGTTAAGGCTCCAGGCAAATGTAGACTAAATTAATAGAACTGATCTAATAGGATGGTGAGAAGAGATACCCCACTGTAGTAAGAATGTAACAATGAAGAACTACATTTGGGAACGCATACTTTGATCGAAACTCCTTGCACGCTAAATTACTTATGATATCATCATGTCTAACTATAAGCTTGAAAATTTTGAACCACTCTAAATTATCCATAAACATATTGACGTGTCACTTTTTTGTAATTTTTTAAGATTACTACAAAACACATTCATCGACGTGCATCACCTCACCCCTCAAGTGCGTGTGCTTTTCACTATCACCATTCATCGTTGAGCAATTATATTGCAACGATTTTGCAGTCTGAATATTGATTATCTAAGATGTTTTACAACAACTGAGATGAGGTTTGAGGATGTAAATTTTCCAGTATTTTAGCTCAATGATATAAAAATTTTCCAATTCAAGAGAATCGATAATACAGACGAGTCAAACGAAAAGGAACGCTTCTCGCCAACTCTCTCCACTCAGTTGGATCGGACTCACTTTTTGACCTGAACTTTCCTTTCTGAATTAAGGAACAAGTTTTGCCCTCAAATTGACTGCTATGCAGTGCAAGCTACTTTGACGTCGATACTGGTATATGAAAAAATTTTCTTTGGGCGCGGTGGATACGAATGCGAGCGGGGTGATTTAAAATATGCAGCATTTTAAGATATAGAAACACCGCGCGTTCATATTCCTCAAGTATCATCATTACCATGGGCTCTCTGATCCCTTAAATTTCCATTTTTGGGCACAGTTCGTTCTACCGTTTTCCTGAGTCAATTTTCATGCTTTTTAGGGCTATCAACGGATGACAGTTTTTGAATGAGTCCGTCTTATTCATATTTTGGAAATAAATGCACACATTGAAGACTGACGCAAACATAAAGTGCCTAAGAGACTCGAACGCAAGGAAAGCAAAGTAAATCGACTCCACTAAAAATACCTCGTCTTTTGTAATTGGGGACCGACGCATGCATCAAATGACTTGGAGACTCAAACGCAAGGTAAGAAAAGTAAGCGAGCTCCCTCAAGACAGCTCGTAACTTCGATTAACAAAAAAATAAGAATAAGTTTTTGTGTATTACGTGATAAAGTTGTGAATTCTCCCATTTAAACAGTAGAAAGGTTTATGTTTTGTCACAGTTTGTTCTAAAAATCTTTCGGGCAGTTTTTTCTGACTTTTACGGCTTCGACAGGAGATATTCCCTAGATGAGCTTGCTCTATTTAGAGCCGAGATGCGGCCATGAGTATCAGTGTATCGACCCTCGAATAACGAAGATTGAGGAACATTTTCAGCGGTGGGTTTTGAACGAGCTATTTTCCGTCGGGAATCGGCAAAAGACGAGTGTGAGAGGATGAGCGAAAATTCGATCAGTTTTATAACTAAACCGGAGACGTAACGCGAGTATATTGTGATTTACGGGCCACGCGTTAGCTGATACGAATTGAGACTTACGCAAGCACGGAAGGTAACCACAGATTGTGCAGAGGCAGGAATGAAAACCGCACGGCAGATATATTGCACACCATAAGCCGCCCGGAAGAGAGAGGGGGACAGATATGGGTGAAGAGAGGGGGCGGAGACGTTCCGCAAAACGCACGCTATGACCTCGGCGTTAACAGACGAGTCCGTGTAGTAAAAGATATTTTACTATTTTTTCTCTATCGATTTATACATATTTTTTAAAAGTTCACTGGAAAAAAAACACATTGGATCTAGAGTCCAGACTCTTGAAAACATTGACAAGAAAACGGACTCTTGATTCAATCAGATTTAAGCTTAAATCAAAAGGAAATCCGCTCAAATTAAGAGGCTTGGTTCTTGATTTAAGCAAAAATCCGATTGAATCAAGAGTATTTTTTCTTGTCGATGTTTTTAAGAGTCTAGACTCTAGATCCAATGTGTTTTTTTTTTCCAGTGAAGTTCATTTTTAAACCATAGTTCGGACCGAGTAATGCCTATTGGTCAATTATTAATTAATTTTTGTAAAATTCTAAAAGGTCGCATTTTCTTGTCTTTTGATTTAATGTAAGATTTTTCCCGGAAAAATTAATTTCAAATCAATAAAAATTCCAGACTCCGCTGTTATTGCGAACGGAATCATATTTGAACTCACAGAGACATGCGCCTGTCAGGGTCCATAGAGAAGTCTCTCCAATAAGTGCTTTAAATACATAATCGAATTCGATGGTTTCAGGGAGAGTTTAGACACATCTGAATACTTCGTGAGAATTTTTTCCGCACAACTAATCCGATTTCCTGGCGATAAATTTAAAGAAATTTGTCTCAGGTCAAGTTTATTGCACTTGAAAACCGATCACATGTCCGAAGCTTTTTATACAGATTCCGGACGAAAAAAAGTGGTTGGTCATCCTAACGGAAGTGTAGCAGGCGTGGTCTCAAGACATCGATTCGAAGAAGTACAAGTCCGTTAGCCAAAAAAGGGTTCTGAATCAGTAATGCCGCGTCCTCGTCCTAGTCCTTGATGTGCCATGCATTTTATCCTCTGAATTCGTCACGGCATTATTAAACTAGGCCGAAAGCTCAGGATGACACTGAACAAGATTCCGGACCATCTAAATTTAAACACAATCGAGGTTGCCGAACTTGAAAGCTCCTCACGTCTCGCCGTGTGAGTCAATATGTTTGCAGTGGCAATCATGATTCAGCGTGAAAAGAAATCGCAACGAGACACCATCACCGGTTACGCCTGTCTCATACAATTCTATCATAAAGCTTAGGACAGCGATTTTACTACAGGTGTTTCAATTTAATGGCCGGCGCAAAGAAGATAACTATTCGCGCATGAGGGTAGTGCATTTGGCCTAGTCGAAAATTTGGAGGCGCTTATCAGCTTATTTTCGTTAGTGACCTGTCTTCATCTTTGGGACTCTTCAGCTTGGAACATTCTTTTTCTCTAAAATATCATGATCAAATCGATGTTTTAAAATTAGATATACCTCTACAAAGTCCGTCAGATAACCTATTGATGCACGATTTTGACTGACTTTGAATTATATTTAACAGGAGGCCTCACCGCTAGGGTTTCATCGTAGGAATGTACTACTGAGGAAAGCCCGCAGGAGTCAATATTGTGTTAGAGTTTCCTCTTCAAGAGAGAGCAATTAAGATAAAAAATTGATGAAAGGCAACACTCAGAATCATGAATGAGGAAGTCCTCCTTACTAGATTTTCGAAGTTTTTTTGGATCACTGCATTTTTTTTTTAGTAAAGATAGCGGGGGAAGAGAACTGCAAATTAGCTGTGAACTTGTTTTTGTCTTTGCATTGCATTTAAAGCTGTGGCGAGTTTACGATAGTTTCGATGGCTCCTTTCATGAACCGAAGAAGTGACTGATTTTAACGAATAATTTATGTCATCTTCAAGTTGTCACGTTGAATTTAGATAATGCTCGTATCAACTATTTCTATGAGTGACACTATAGCCATCAACACTTTTACGACTCAGCTTTATGACGGAGCGAAATGCTCCCGGTGTCAAGCCAGCTTCCGAGCCCTCTCGACAGCTTCACACCCACCGAACAGATGATCCGACCGTTACACTGTGGGCGAATTTAACGCGTAACCTGGCTACTGTGCCAGAGACCCTGACACCGAATCGATTGGGCTTGATATGGATCGCTGTTGCCGGGCCAACTAGTTTATCTAACAGATTTGTATAGATCATTCTTTTACACGCGCCTTGCAGGTATAGTTTCGTCAAACCATGCTTTGGCTATAAGGAAAATAAAGAGAAAAAAAACGGATATCTCTCCTTCATGTAAAGGAGCCCTTATGGTATCTTTCTTGCTGAAAGTTCCACTATTGTCCTTTTACGTATAAATACACTTTTGATAAAACCTGGACCTGCGCGCCGATTATTGAAACTGATAGACAAAACGATAGACAAAGAAGACATAGGGAGTATGGAGCGATCCTACTGGTTGACATGGTTGGTTCCTATAGACTAAGGAAGAAAATGATGAACTAACTGTCGGATCTTTGGTGGGTTGCTGTTAGTTAGTCCATTACCTACCTCCTATGTTCATTGCCACCATCCGCTTCCACCAATACGATCCCTCAAAATACCTTTTGTCGTCTGTGTCTATAGCTTTGTCTATCAGTTTCAATAATCGACCCGCTGACCTGGAGCACTGGATAAAAGGGCCGGTCATAAATGAAATGTGCTCTGATCCTCAAGATCGGATACAGTATTTCGGTTTATCAATCTAAATCTATACCGGCAATCGGAACTTTTTGGTTCATGTGAACAAATTGTTTATCCAGTTTGATTCAGTTTGAGATTTAGGTTAATTTGACCAAGAAAAAAAAGGAAAAGAGAAGGAAAAACTGAACCGGAAGTTTCGTTTGGCAAACCGAGGTACTAACGATCGATATTCAGTACGGTCCGTAGTACATCCAGTCAATATGGTTGAGTTTTTCCCGATGTTAATGATTTCCATTCAAAGGTTAGTGAGCCCAAAAAATGTATACTAAGTTTAGCAGAAAAGAACACATGGACACGTGGACATTTTGATAAAAAAACATACTGATTAGGGATGGAGCCCAAAAATGACTGAGATGCGGTGAGGGAAAACTAGAAAAGTGTACAGGATCCTTCCAACTATTTTTCTAAAAATGATTCTCAAGTTTTTCTCCCGGTGATCACGCTGGACCGAAAGTTATAGATGCTCTATTGTTTCCCGTTGAATTTAAAATATTAGCGCATTAGTACGGCAACAGCGCTCGAAAGCCCATTTTTTTCATTCATTGAGCCGTGCACAGGCGGCATGACCGCCGTGTTAAGCAGGAACAGCGCAAATCCAATGGAAACCCCACGTACGTTGGTGATTTTTGCAAACGCACGGCAGATTACTTCATCGCCGCTTCATCGCGCGACAAACAGTCGGCGATTAGTTGCCGTAAATATCAACTTGTCACCGCAAGTGCGCGTCGTTATTGTCGCCTCTTGCGTCCAAATGTCAAAGTTTGGTGCATCATTCCCGCGGCACTTCTCAAGGGATGCAGCAATCTATCGCTTCATCATGATTCAACAGTTTCTGCATCGGTTGCTTGGATCTAGACTTCGATGGGAAAATTTCGCATTCCTCCGTTCCTTCTCGATCTGCATAAGGCGCAACAAGCTATTTGTGTTGGTCACAGAATCGTGTTTTCTTCAGTGGCGTGGCGTGCTTTGCGATATATTGATCTGCCATTTAAACCTATGGAAAAGTATCGATAAACAGGGTGTTTGCGACAAACACCTTCATAATCGATTCTT